GACCCTTTCACAGGGGTCGCCTAAGACCATCGGAAAACACATATATAATTACATATTGTTTTTGTGATTAATCACTATGCTTTAATTATGTTCAATTTGTAACAATGAAAATACATCCTGCATATCAGATATTTACATTATGATTCATAACAGTAGCAAAATTACAGTTATGAAGTAGCAACAAAAATAATTTTATGGTTGGGGGTCACCACAACATGAGGAACTGTATTAAAGGGTCGCGGCATTAGGAAGGTTGAGAACCACTGGCCTAGAGGCTGGTGGCTGCTCCAGGCTGCTCTAACAATGCTTCCCCACACAATTCCCAGAAACGCCGCCTCCCTGCCCGCCAGCCCGGCGGCCACTCCACCTCCCCTCCCCTCCCCAGGGGCCCCAGGCAGCAGCCAGTCGGGGCGATGGGTGAAAGGAGGAGGTCAGCAAACCCAGGCACACCAGCCCCGCCCTTCTGGAGAGAAATAGAGGGGCTTCATGAGGGGGATTGGGGCACGAGGAGACAGGCCTTGGGAGGTGGCCTTGGCCAGGCACTGGTCCAGGCCCAGACCCTCTGCCTTTGTCACCTGACCCTGCAAAGGCCCGTCTCCACACAGCACTGTGCTAAGGCTGTGGACGCTGTCAGGGGACAGCCTCTGCTGCTCAAAGCCCCCCCTGCCCCACACGGCCCCTCCTGCTCTCCCACAGGCCTGCACGCTCCCTGCCCCGGGCATTTGCACATGTTGGTCCCTCTGTGTAAACACTCTCCCCAGCGAGCGCTCATGACTTTCATGTTTCCTTCAAGAACCAGCTCAAGAGTCACCTCACGAAAGTCAGTGGCACCCCTGACACAGCCCCTCTCCTCTGTGCGTGGCACCTTCCCTGGAGCAAGCACAGCCTGGCATCCCCTATTCTGACTCGTTTGTAGACTCGCTGATTGTCTCTCCTCAGGGCTGGAGCTCCCCAATGGCAGAGACTTGGGTCTGATTTGTTTGCTGCCAAAGCCCCACTTCCTAGAACAGGGCCTGGTACCGAGCAGATGCTCAATACAAACAAGTCAATGGTAGAGGATGATTCCTGTCCCTGAGCAAGAAGGGCGGGGTGGTCCCTCAGAACACAGACCCCCAGCCTATCTGACAGCCCCACCTGGTGGTGCCATCAAAGCCGCTGTCACCACAGCTGGTGACCACCTTGGGGCTCGGCTCTTCTTTCCCTGCTTCCCAGGAGCTGAGGACTGTCGCCAGGACCTGCAGGTGAGTGTGGGGCCAGGCCCGCCAGGGGGCCACTGCACTCCTGGGGCCGGGATACCCACGTGTGCCAACACACAGCCCCCGTGCAGGGCGCACAGAGAGCCCCACCAAGAGCCACGAAGGGGGGAACAGGGCACAACTTCTGCAGAACAGGCACCTCAGAGCCAGACCCAGGGCACTGAAATCTGAATAAAGAAGCCATACCAGCAGCTGCTCGTGCCCAAACTGGGTGGCACAGGGTGGAGCCAGGGGCAAGAATGCCGGACGATGGCACAGACAGTGCCTGGCGCCTGCTCGGCCAGGCCCTCCGGCTCCCTCGCGCAGCTGCAGCCTTCCTTCCTGAGCTGGTGTTTCCTGGCTCCTCCCTGCTGTTGCCAAGGAAACCTGGAGCAGCCCATCCCCAGCCTCATTCCCACGGAGCCCTGCTGAGCAGAGAGGGGGCCACACAGCATGCAGCAACACCCCAGGACACACAGCCACACAAGGCCCCCCAAAGGCTCACACAGCTCAACACCCCAACTCTCGTTCAGTGCAACACCCACTGACACTGGAACACTCACAAAAGTCACTCCCACCACCTGTGACCTCACCCAGCCGTCCACAGCCTGTATGCCACCCTACAGCCTGCTACCGCCTACGGCCTCCCCACCCGCCCGGTCCTGCTGGCCCAGCAGCACTCAGGCCAGGTCCGACACCCTGCACAACAGTCCCCTCTGCCCACACACTGAGGCACCCACCATGATAGCAACACCCTCTGCTCGCTCACCAGGCTCAGCCCTCAGCCACCCCACACCCACGAGCACTCGGACAGCAGTCCCACAACTGGAGCTCTGCCTGCTGCAGGCCCACGTGACTGGGAATCACACACTGACCCAAACCCAACCCACTAGAGCTGCCGCCTTCACCATGTCCCCCCACCCCTTTCCAGGAGAGGCCCACAGCACTGGGAGCCCAGCACCCCAGGAATGAGCAGGAGGACCAGGCGGAGCACATGCCCGTGTCCAACTGAACCAGACTGGTCACTGGGCAAGAGACACACATGCACACACGTGTGCCCACTTGATTCCAGATCGCCAGGTGGCCTGCCCAGAGGCCCAGGCTGACCCTCACCTCCCATTCCCTGGGAGCAGCACAAGGACCAGCATGAGGACCTGGGCCAGGCCTGCAGCCAGGTCTCAGGACACGAGGCAGGATCTGAACTGGGGAGCCTGGTTTCAAACTTGAGGTCTCAGGAGACCAGAGAGTCCCCTCCACCCAGACCTGTATCCAATGGGGACCCACCTCCACCCTCCAGAACAGGAGGGTCCAGCCCCACAGGACTCTGTAATTGGTCCCAGGCTTTGCTGCTCCTGGGGCAGGGCTGGGC